ATCTTTGTNTGAANNAAGTGAAGAGATCAAAGTCTTGGTTTCTTCGCTTAGCTTGTCTTCTCCCACATACGGTCGAAGCTCCTTTTTATCCATAATTTCTTTTGTGATTTCTTGTTACAAGGATCTGTTTTAATTTTCCCGCAAGATTTATATATATATATACAATCTTATCTACTTCATATCTTTTAAGATTTAGTGGTTAGCTAATCTTTCTTGGTGCATGACTATAAATTATAAACAATGGGATATGCCCTCGTTCAATATTTGATATCTACCTGTCAATTCAGATTGTTATTTAACGTATTCATGTAAGATCATCACCTGTCATTTTACCTGACTACGATTACAACTAGTCTCTTGATAATCATTTTATGATATCTACCAGTCACACTTATCTACTCAGTTAGTACTTAGTAGTGGTGGTTGAGAGAATATCAAGACTCTAGTAGTTGCAAATGATAAATGTTTTTGAAAATGGAACCGTGTATTTGAAATTGACTAGCAGATGGTCACACCTACTACAATAGATCGGATAGTTACAAATTCAATAATAGCTCATTAACCACTAGGTGAGTAATAAATAGTGAAGTCAGAGAATTATAACTTATAGTGTGTCTTACTATAAAGTATAAACACTGTATTTTATGGTCATTTGATACTCCTGGATAGCATATCTCATCTCATTATTGTTTATCTTGATCTTATAATTAATAATAAATTTTTTTACTAACACTGCAACAATAAAATAACATTGTTAAAAGTATACTATTTGATGTTGTCTTTTTCGTTTACTCCCGAAAATTACATGAGAATATACATGAGCATGATTGAGCTCATCTTCCATAATTATTATCTCGGGCATCGAATACTGTTTGTGAGTAATTTATTCCGATCAAGGACTGTGGAGAAAATGAATATCTAAATCTTTCACTCATTTGTCGTCTCCGGTCTCTTTAGCTTTAATGTTGATGTGGGGAATGTAATAGTTCGAGATCAAATCTTCATGAAATCAAATTTCCATTTGATTTTTAAATCAGATTTTCTTGGGTTATTTTAATCAGATTTTGAAGAATGTTGAACATGATCATGGTCTATATGTAAGTGTCTGATCGAGTTATATAGTCATGTTTTCTTATACACCTGGTCTAAATGTTTTTAATGGAATAGACCATAGTGTAATAAAAATACTATATAGAAAATACTATAAGTTTAATAAAAATATAAACTTTTTTTTTTTTGAATTTTAAAATAAACTTTACATTCTTGTTTTTTATGAGTTTACATTTTATTGTAGACCATAGTGTAATTCACTAAATATAAACTTTTACATTCTTACTTTTTATGATTTTACATTTTATTTTATATTTAAAAATGGAAATTTGATTTCATTTGTTTTTCTCGATTTCTGGTTT